GATTGACACCCTGTATTGTACCTGCCAAGCTGGCGCATGGGCCCTGACCCTGGACTAGAAGCATCTAAAGTCGTGAGGGGGCTAGATGGGGAGCAGGGGATGAGGATGAAGGGGACAGCTTATCCATCCACCCCTAGCACAAGGCTTGGCGTCCAAACAGGCTCAGACAGGTTCCCAGCACAAGTAATTGAAAGTTGTGTTGGAATGGCCAAAGGTATGAATCACTAACTACAAAATGACTCAGAGCAGGGAACGCTCAGCAGGCTGAAGATGCTGTCTGTCTTGTCTGCCCCTATGTCCCGACACCCACACAGGCTTCCTGGGGGAAGGTGGCAGGCCTGCAAAGCCGTGCTCCCAAGGGCCCAGGACAAAGAGCAAGGGGGGGGGGAGCAAAGAGGGGGATGGGTAGACAGAGGGGATGGGATGCTCTTCTGGGGAGGGAGGGGCCTGCGTCTGGACCATGGGTAAGAAGAGTCTGATAGAGGATGTGGTCTCCCTGGTCCTGCAGTGGCACCGGTGTCTGGACATGTGGCCCTGGAGACAGAGATAGTCAGTGTGTCCTTCCCTGGCTGGCATGTGATTAGCACTGTGGCCAGGCCACATGTGGTCCATGGTCAACTCCTGTCCTTGGTGGAGCCTGCGCTCCTGGAACCTCACACCGTTGATCTTTGGAATGAGGAGTGACTTTGAAAGGGGAGTGTGAGGGGGTGGGCGGGTCCCTGGGTGACAAAGCCAGATGAGAGCTCTGGATCTTTCTGCCCACCCCCAAGACATCTGGTGACCTAGGGCTCCAGTCACCGGGGATGTAATCAGTAGTGTTTGCACAGGAAGTACCCACGGAAACCCCAGTGAGGGGCTTGGTGCAGATGCAGATCTGGGACAGGCATGCACCCCAACAGGGTGCTGCAGCCATACCTGGCATCACCCCTCTGTGCATTTCCCTGAATGGGTCCTTTGAATCATGGAGGAGGTGCCTGAGTTTTGTGAGCTGTTTTGGGGAAACCTCAGATTTAGCTGGTCAGTCAGAGGGCAGAGGTAGTTTACGATGGTGATGGCGTCTGAAGAGTTTCATCCTGTGAGGCTGGGCCCTGGCACTACCCCTGGGTAGCCGATGTTAGACCACGTGAGTCCAGAGGGTTGAAGAGTTGGCTGTCATCAGCAGTTGAGTGAGTGAAAACAGGTCCTCCAGCTAAAGCCTTGCTTTAAACACATGCGTTCCCAGAAGAAAGCGGGAATGTAAAATAGTGGAGTTGCTATGATGAAGCTTGTGGTGAACCTTGGAGGATTCCATGACAGACAAGGGTGAGCAAGATGGGGGACAAACACGCCAGGAAGACAGAGATTAGTGAGAAGTTTATTAGGAAGGGAAAGGCAGGAAGGAAAGAAAGAAAAAACAGGTAAAGAGACTTAGAGGACAGAAGAGGGAGACAGGAAATGTTCCATCTGCCCTGGGGGAACAGCAGGAAAGAGAGAGGGGAAGGGAGCTTAAGTGGGCAGGGTCTTTCTTTTAAAGGGGTCTTTTGCACCTGCGTGCAGACTATACAAGCATGGAACCCTGGGCTGACCAGGCTACTGCCTGAGTACATTCGGCCAGGTGACAGGAGCTGGCCAGCATAATGTCCAAGTTCTTACAGGAGTCATTGAAAAGTAAGGCAGGTTCGTGTAGAGTTAGAGCTGGAGCCCACAGTTCTTCTAGAACAGACCCCACAAAAATGAAGCCAGAGAACCAGACGGATGAGCCTGCATCCCGTTGATGCTCACGGTGGTGAAGCAGCTCAGAGGTCCATGGAGGAATGACTTGGTGATGCTATGACATGGGAGGACCTTGAGGATACTGTGCTAAGTGAAATAAGCTGTCAGACAGTTTCATCCAAAAACTCAGATACCCAGCGACAGAGAGCAAGCTGGTGACTGCCACGGGCTGGAAGAATTGGTGTCTAATGAGGGTGGCAGTCTGAGAAGATGAAAGCACTTTGGAGCTGGACGGTGAGAAAATGCCTTTATAAGACGGGCCTGTATGCAAGTCTGTGGGGTGTTGTGGGAGGCCCAGTGCATTGAGGACAGTGCTACCCCTGGGCGTGTCCTGGATTGTACAGGAAACCAGGCTTGAGCAGGTCATTAAGGAGCACTCCCCCATGGCCTCTGCATCAGTTCCTGCCTCCAGGTTCCTGCCTGGACTTCCCAGGGTGATGGACTACAGCTGTAAGATGAAATAAACCCTTCCCTCCCTGGGTTGACTTTGATCATGGCGTTTTATCACAGCAGTAGACACCCTAACTAGGACACGGGTCACAAATTACCAGCCAAGGAGAGGAAGGAGCAAGTGCGGCTCAGGGAGACCCACTCACTGCTGGTTAGTCCAGCACGGTTTTGTACTTAAGCAGGGTGTCCTAAGTGGCTGCTTTCTCTGCTTCAGGTCCTGTGATATTAGCAGGACAGACACATGTGCACCACCACCACCCTGTCCACATCCTGCTGCTGCGTGAGGTGGGGCCATGCGTAGGAATGGGGGCCCTCTAACTCATGGGGCTGGAGGCAGTGCCTCTGCTGGGCACTGGTGAGGGGTCTGGCTTCTCCCAACATGGCAAATGCCATTGTGACGGATGCTTTGTGAAAGAAAAGGGAGTATGGTGTGTGGAAGGAGAACGCAGGAGCTGCCTTTGCTCCTTTTTATTTTAATAACAGCTCATCCTGGGGAGAAGTGGGGGCCAGAAGGAAGTCACCAATCCCTTCTGGGGCCAGTGCCCTATGACCTAAACACTTTCCACTCCTCGTTACCGTCACCCCCTAGACTTCCAGCTCGTGAACCCTTTGGGGGCACATTCGAACCGCACCCAAACCATAGCAACAGCTTTTGCCAATAAATATGAAAATTTGTAATGGACAAGTTCCCAGAAAACTAGAACGTAACCCAAAAGAAACAGTTTGAAAAGTTCTAGGCCATTAAAGCAACCAAGTCAAGGGTGAAAAATCCTCTCACTGTACTTCCCATTAGTCTTAGGCGTGCCATCAGTTCTGGGTCTGAGAGGACCCGGGGAGCTCCATCTCCTGGTGTGCAGTGAGCCCCCCATTTCATGTGTAATTTTAGGGGTCTTTGAACTCACCGAGCCAATGTCTTCCCCCACCCCACACTCAGGACCAAGCTCAGGGCTCCCAAGTCTCACAAGAGGCCCGTGGGCTGGGTGCTCTGGGACACTGCAGGGGGAGGGTGTGCAGAAGAGGCAAGGGAAAGGGAACTCTGGCTGGAGGAAGAGGAATGCTGAGGAGCTCTTTCCAGAACAGGAAGCAGGTTGATGTCAAAGGCATCATGGTCACGTAGGAGGCTTCCCCCACTCAAGCTCTACCCTCCTCTGGGTCCTGCAGTACCCCGTATGTAGCCAGAGGAGCTGGAGGTCCCTAGAGTCCAGCCGCTGGTCTGATACGCCTATCTGGGTATCTCATGGCGCCTTCCTGATGCGTGCTCACCTGATGTAATTGCACAGAGATCTCAATCACAGCTGTGCAAATAGCAGGTGTGGCCGGCCAGACAGAACAGCCTCACCAGGCTCTGTATGACTCTCAGGTGACAGCTTCCCAGGGACAGTGGGGTTAGGTGCAGGCAGAAGGCCCCAGCACCCAGGCCTAGAGAGGTCTGCATCATCCTCGGTTTCTCCCTCAAGTCCACTGGCAAACACACAGCCACTCACTCCCACCCTCAAGCCTCGGAGGAGACGATCAGGTCCTTACAGGGTGATGCTCAGACGTGCTAGGCTGTGAGTATTTTGTGAGCTGTGGTGTGTTGACCACTCTTTCAGAACCCACTGTTAGCCTTGATCTCAGAACTCAGCCTGAGATTTCATCATGTAGAGCTCGCAGAGTGGCCTCTCAGGCAAGAGTCCCTACCCAGGACAATCTCTTGTCTTGTTGCATCAACTAACTTATTTTTAAAATTACACCTATTTATTTGTGTGTGGTGTTGGAGTGTGTGAGTATGTGTGTGTGCGCGTGTGTGCGTGTGTGTGCTGTGTGTGTGCTGTGTGTGTGTGCGTGCATGTGTGTGCTGTGTGTGTGTGTGCGCGCGCGCATGTGTGCGTGTGTGTGCTATGTGTGTGCTGTGTGTGTGCGTGCGTGTGTGTGCGTGTGTGTGCGTGTGTGTGCTGTGTGTGTGTTTGTGTGTGAGTGTGTGTGTGCCATAGTGTGGAGGTCAGAAGACAAATTTGGGGATTTGGATCTCATCATCATGTGACTCCCAGAGATCACACTCGGATCATCAGACTTGATGGCGACTGTCTTCACCCACTGAGCCATCTGCTCCACGCCAACTGTCTTTAATACTCTGTTTGTGTCCCGGTCTGTCATATGTGGGCAGATGTGTATGCGTGCCACCGTGTCATTCAGCCTCTTGGCACCATCTGTGCAGTTACTGCCTTCAGGGGACCTGATGTACTGTTTACCTAGGACCGCGTCAACCCCCTGCAGCATGGCTCTGAGGGACTGAGAGACTCTGAGTCAGCAGGTGGGGTGCACTGAGATCCCCAGGGGATGGGGAATGCCCGGCTGGGGTGGCTGGGTGACGACAGTGCAGGGAACAGGGTGTGGAGGTCTCGGATGAGGGACAGCACGGTTGGTCAGTGAGCTTTGAGGAATGGGAGGTGGTGAGGGGTGAGATGTGGGCTGGGTGAGTCCGTCAAGTTCCATGGAGGTAGAAAAGAAACTTCTACAGCTTTCGCAGTGGGTACTGGGAATACCCCCAAATCGAAGTCTCCCTTCCAGCTCAGACCCAGCTGCTTCCATACCTGGCTACCAGAACGGTGGACCCTGTCTCCCCCCACACCTTGGTGTGCAGGCTGCAGGCCCAGGGCTCCAGAGGGGCCGGCCTGTGAGCTGCTTCCTCATGTTTACCCTGAGCACACGTGCAAGGAGAACATGCTTCTTGGAGGCACTGTAACACTCCCTGCAGCATCCTAAGTGCTCTCAGGACCTGCTCTCCAGGGGTCACAGAGGGCAGCCACTTCACTGACCTGGATCACGGTGGCTAGCCCCAGCTGAGACTGCTCTGTGGAGTCCCCATCTTCAGGGTTGCTGGACACGGAGCTCATCCTGGGCAGGGGCACAGAACCTCAGAGACGCAGCGGCTGGGCTGCCCAGTTCCGTCCTCTATGCCTCCCCACACCTGCGTGCAGTACCTGGGGCCGCTATGCTGGTTCTGCTCTGTTAATTGACTTGTTCCTGGGCGCCCAGCTGCCGCACCTTGATTGTGGAGACCACATGCCAAACAAGCCCATGAGTGTTGCTGCGGCAACCAGGACGCTGAGGGCTGGGTTTCCCTGGAAATAGGAGTAAAGGCTTGTTGTGAGAACTAAGGAACACTGTTGGGCGAAGCGGTTTCCATGGAGACCTGGAGTGAAGCTGACCCCAGGGAGGGACCAGCCTCTTCCTAGAGCCCCTATTTACTGTCTAGAGAGACTGCTTGCTGACCACACCCAAAGGTGCAGACCACAAGCCCGTTCTCTGAGATTCAGGGTCACAAACTGACTTAGTTAATGTGTCAAAGAACTTTGTGATCAGTAGTGAGATACGTGTCGCGGCTATCTAAGGATCAGGGAAGGACAGACAAAGGAGGTTCCATCTTCTACATCCTTCCCCGTTGCAGCCTGGCAGGTTACCTGCTCTGCAGCATGCTCTGCCTAGGCTGTATAGAATTGCATCTCTCGCCCGTCATCACCCCATTGGCACTGGTCTGGCTCATAATCTCATCAGTACAGATTCTCAACCTACTTCTGAAGCCTTTTGAACCCGGCTGCTCTATTCTGTAGCCTGTACATATGTATGCAGATACAGAGATACATTTACTGCGTGCTATGTGATGCCAAAGCTGATATTAGTAATTAAAATTAGAATAAAAGAGTCTGCCCTCATCGTGGGTCAGGTGATCAAGGAAGGTGGAATTATTCTAAAAATTTACATTATTGGAGCTGCTAACCCTGTGTACTTACTGTTATTCAATAAAATTTGACATGGAAATCACAAATTTGTTCATCTACATTTCTGGCATAGCATGCCCGCCTTTCCTGGCCATGCACAGGAGCCTAAGAGCCTGTTTTTGCACGTATCCTGGATACTGGGGTTAGCCTGGGCGCTATGTGGTCCATGTACCCAGGAGTCTGAGTCCGCATCTTTGCATCTACCCTGGATATTGGGGTTAGCCTTGGCTCTATGTGGTCCATGAATGGGCTTCTGGTCCAGGCCTATTGACAAGGAGAATCTTTATGACAAGCCCAGAGCATGTTCTATACTGAGCCCTGTCAGATTGCCCACTGAGGAGAGTGGGGCTCAGGAGGACCTTGTCTCTTCTCCTAACAGACTGGACTGTTGGGCCAGGACCCTGAGCCTCCTGTCCTGAAGTCTGAGGAGCAAGCTCCACCCTAGTTGTCAAGGACATGTTCTGTCCCTACTGTCCATCTTCCCAGCATGCGGCTGACTCTGCCCTGTCTGTGGCCGTCTGTCCGGCAGGCTGTTCAGTACTTCTGTACTCAGAGGGAGACTCACTTTCAGAAGGGCGTTTGGTACCATTCCCTCCTCCATACCTGACACCTCGCCAGAAACAGCCCCAGGACACTGAAAACCCTGGATTTCCAGTTCCTTGGAGGACAGCTTATAGCTCTTGGGCACTGAACGTGAGCGTCGTCATGGCTGGCCTCAGGCATGGACGGGCACAGACACACTGGCCATAGTGGGAGCTTAGCCTTGGTATAGTGAGTAAGGGTGTGATGAGTCAGAATAAGTACAGTGCCCAGGGCACTCCCCTGCCAGACCCTAGAGGGCACGCACTTCGGATAGCACAGGGGCTGCAACCCAGGTCAGCCCAGCCTCGGCTGTCCTCAAGAGTCACTCCCTGTGAGCAATGGCTGCCACCTCTGCACCTGTGAGTTTGGCACGTGTGCAGTCCACCCTGTCTCCAGGGCACACAGTCACCAAAGGGACAGAGATGGCCACAGACAGCAAGTCAGATTCCAGAGCGATTCTGGCTAGACAGGCTACCCTGGGGATGTGGAGCACGGACAGGACATGCCATACCTTTGTGCCCTCCACCCTCTTCGCAGCGTAAGAGTTGTCCCCAGCATGAACTGTGCTCGGAGGATAGCAGAGCCCAGCAGGGCCAGGCATCAGAGCTACTTCTGAAGCTGAATGACACCATCCTCATTCCTGGTTGTTGAGTGAGGCAGAGAGACCAGGGCAGGGTTGGGGGGAGGCTGTGGGCACCTGGTCGTCACATAGGACCCTTCATGAGGACTTATAATGTCCCTTTCCTACTCCAGGAAGGTTTGGGTCAGGGATGGCAGATGATGGCATTCATAGGTCCAGTGGATGGCATAAAGAAGAGAGGCCAACTGTGTCTGAGGGGGTCCAGATGAGGACCCGAGGGGTTCCCTGGCAGAGGAGAACCTCACTATCTACCTTCTCAGTGTTTACCTTGCCTGTTCAAAGGGCAGTGGTTGGATGGCCCTGGACAATGGCTGCCAGTGTGGGACCCTGCCCTTGTCTTCCATTCTGAAGGAACGGAGAACACTGAATACCAAGACACAACCAGGAAGAGACTGGGAGGGCAGTCTGCCCTCAGTGACAGGAGAGAGTGTGGGGCTGCTGGTCATTCACAGCTTAGCAAGGACCACAGCGTGAAGAAATGAGGAGGGCCCAAGACACCGGACGTGGCCGTGACTTCCTGGATACAACCATGCAAGCATGGATGTCAACAATAACAGATGGACTTCATAACCATTAAAACATTTCATACCTAAGGACCATACTAAGAAAGAGAAAAGACAGCACCCAGACTACTATGGGGGAAAATACTTGCAAATCATTCATCTGATAGAGGAAAAAATTTATAAAAATTTCCACACACTCAGCAACACAGCACAATTGAAAGATGAGCCAAGAATGGGAATAGACATGTCTCTTTTGGACACATACAAAGGTTACAAAATGTTTGACCTTACTAATTGTTAGGGGAAAACTGTGCTGATGAACGCCACACCCTTTAGGGTGGCTACTATGAAGAAAGCAGAAAAGTATGCTGATGAAGATGAAGATTAACTGGAGGCCTTGGGTGCTGCTGGAATGTCAAATGGTGAAGCTGACTGAGAACAGCATGGTACTTCCTCAGAAATCAAACGCATGCCACGTGAGCCAGCAATTCCATGTCTGGGTGTGTACTCAGAAGAACAGAAAACAGAGATGGGGAGATCTGGCTGCCACGTTCCTAGCAACCGAGTGTCTGATAAGCAACAATTGGCCATCCGTACAGTGAATGATTGCTCAGTATTTAGCAGGAGGGGGGCTCTGACCCGTGTTGTGGTGGGGATGGACCTGGAGGACATCAGGTTGAGTGAAGTAGGTAAGCCAGTCACAGCAAGACAGGAGTGTGCAGTTCCATCTATGTGAAGTTCCTAGAGCTGTGAGATCTGCAGACAGAGGCAACCATTCTCCCCATTCGCTGCTGAGGCTGGGGAGGAGTGTGTGAGTGTGTGTGTAAGTGTGTGTGTGTAAGTGTGTAAGAGTGTGTGTGTGTGGGGAGGCGCAGCTAGTGTCTCATGGCGACAGTTTCTGTTTGAGAAGATAAGAGTCCAGTCAGGCATGATGGTACACACTTAGCACTCAGGAGACAGAGGCAGGTGGATTTCCGTGAGTTCAAGGCTAGCCTGGTTTACATAGTGAATTCGAGGCCAGTCAGGGATACATAGTGAGACTCTGTCTCAAAAAAAGAAGAAAGAAAAATAAAAAACAAAACGAAAGAAGAGAAAGATGAAGTTCTGAAGGTGGATAGCAGTAGTGACAGCTACACAGTGAGAACATTTTAATGCATACTTTAATATGGTTAAAATAATAAATGCTGCCGGGCGGTAGTGGCGCATGCCTTTAATCCCAGCACTCGGGAGGCAGAGGCAGGCGGATCTCTGTGAGTTCGAGGCCGGGCTGGACCGATAGCCTCCAAAACAATACAGAGAAACCCTGTCTCGTAAAAACCAAAATAATAATAATAATAATAAATGCTATGCTTACTTATTCAGTAAGTCCCTATGCAACCCCTAAATCCAAACCCAACAATAACAAAAATCTTTCTTGTGAACACGGAGATAAAGGAAGACCTAGTAGAGACTGCACCCAAAGATTCTGAACCCAGAACTTGCCAGCGTCTAGTCTGTCCTGGGTTGACCAGATGGCCCTGGGACAGGCGGAGTGGCCTTGTGTACCCTGTGTGTCGAGTGAGCCACACTTGTGCTTCTTGGCCTGGCAGAATCCCCCCAGCACTCCTTTCCACACTGAATCTGGCGCCCCTCCCTATCTTTTGTGTCCTGTGCTCCACTGAACAGGTGACACAGCCCACATACCCCCGCTTGCTCAGCACCAGGCTGTGACTGAATTGGGCTCACAGTGTCCCCATCGGGCAGCAGTGGGGTGATAGTAAGGATCACAGGTGATGATCCCAATCCTGGGCCAGCAGAGTGTGTGTTCCAGCGCCATGTAGAACATACCCCCAGTCACCAGACACAGAGGAGTTTCCCATAAGTCTCCAGTGCGTGGTGTCAGAGGTGCCTCCAGCCCAGACCATCTCTCCTGAGACCTGAGGTTGAGTAACAGAGGGGCTGGTGGAGAAGGTGAAGGCTGGGTAGGGAGACTGTACTGACATCCTTGGACTACAGGGGTGGGAGGAAGGAGCAAGGGAGGATGCGATGAATGGCAGACGGGGAGATGGTCTCCTTATGTGGCCCTGACCCCTCCTCTCTGCAGACAGACACTGGGCAGGCGGAAGGAATAGGCGGCATCTAGACTCCCTCTCTTGCAAAACCTTCCCACGCAGGGCCCTCAGCCTCGCACTGCCTTTCCCCAGAACAAGTGAGGGACAGCCGTGTGTTTCTCCAGCTTGAACCCTCTGGGGCGTGCTCGGGTGTCCTAGCTATGTGAGAACAGGAAACAACTGGAAAGCTGTAGCGCCAGCTTCTGCCTGGAGCCCCTCCATGTCTGAGGGTGAAGCTGTCACCCCGCCTGCTCCTCAGTCCCCATCTGCCAGCCCTGAGCTTGGATTCCACCTCTTCAGGCCCAGCGAACAAACAGCAGGTCAGCTCCAGGCTGTCAGGAAACCCAACACAACCTTGAAGATGACTAGCAGACTGGTCTTCCCCATAGTTCCCTCCTTCCTTCCTAGGACAGTGGTTCTCAATCTGTGGGTTGTGACCCCTCTTGGGGGGGGTCAGATGACCCTTTCACAGTCACTTATCAGATACCCTGGTTATCAGATACTTACATTATGAGACATACCAGTAGCAAAATTACAGTTATGAAGTAGTGATGGAAATAATTTTACGGTTGGGGGTCACCACAACATAAGGGACTGTATTAAAGGGTCATGGCATTAGGAAGGTTGAGAGCCACTGTCTAAGTATCTCTGTCGACATCTGGCTTCTCTTGAGACACAGCTTGGTGACAGGCACAGGGGATCCTGCTCAGCTCTGCTCTCGGCTGGGTGTGGTGTGGCTAGGGTTTCCCAGGCCTGCCTCCATGCTGGTGCTCACCCTGTTGGTGCCGTCATCCACTCCAGGTTACTATTGTCCCCCAGGCCACCCCCAGCTCTCTGTCCGCAGCTTCTGCACCTCCTGAAGAGCAGTAGCCTCAAATGCTTGCTTACCCCACAGATGACAAACCTGGAGCTCTCCTAAGCAGCCTGGGCTGTGGGGCTGGTGTGTGAGGCAGCAGCGACTTCAGCTGCTGTGGGCTTTACGTCACTAAGCTGTAGACAGTCGCCTCTCGTGTGATCCTCCCCGGTGGGCACACACACACGCTCCACTCATGGGGCGAGGGCAGACTGAGCAAATAGAACACAGGTCTCTCCCACCATCCCACGACAAGTGATGCTTCTGACCTTCACAGGGGCGGGCAGCATACAGGGCGAGGAGCTTGGGCAGCACTTTGCTTGGGGTGGCTCGGTCTCTTCAGTGACTTGAAGGGATGTCTGTGAGGTTGTGTAGAAAAGCTGGGAAAGTCCAGGTCTGAGCAGGAAGGAACTGGCTGCTGACCCTGGGTCAGAGCTGAGCTATCTAGGTCTGCAGGGCCCACGGTTCACAGATCACAGAGCTGCGGGCAAGCTGTGTGGGCATAGCAAGAGCAGTGGGGAGGGCAGAGGCAGCACTCTGGAACTGGACAGCCTTGGAGAGGGTGAGCCATATGCTGGGCAGCCCAATACACAGGGCTGGGCCAGACTGGAGGGAAGCCTGTCTCCATCATGGAGGCTCACAGAGGCCTGCCTACGGTTTGCAATTCCTCAGAGGCTCCGAGCGGCCAGCCACTCCAAGAAGGGTGGCCTTTCCTATTCTATTGCCTGGCAGCTCTGATTAGTGCAGATGGCTGGGGTCTGAGGCCACACGTGGTGTGGCTGCAGAGGTGGCATCTCTCTGACACCTGTGGGGCTGGCACCTTCTTGGCTCTTTGCAGACTAGAAGCTGAGCTGCCTCTGCACTGAGGCCCCTCTGAGGGCCAAGGGTCGCTAGGCGGCTCCCTTTTGCCAGTCTGGGCTTGTACAACACTGAGCAGGGAGGAGGCGGTGGGCAGGGCACTGGCAGGTGGCTTGTAGGGTAAGACTTTCCAGCCATGAGGCGGAGCCAGAGGCTGCTTCTCCTAGAAGGCAGCGGCTCCTGGCCAGGTGTGTGCTAGCTCTTCTCAGGGAGGCTGGTGAATGGGACAGGGAGCCCGAGGGGCCGAGCTGGCCAATTACATGGACAGTAAATGGAGGAGGATTGATTTATACTGGTATCTGGGAAATGCTTAGGAGACACTGCCCAGGTCTGGCCTGAGGCTTATTCCTCTCCAAGCTGCCTTAGAGAGCCCTGGACCCACGCAGGTTCTGGCAGCCATTGCCTTCCCATCTGAACCATGGGAAGGGAGGCTGGGCAAGGACGGCCCATTTCACAGAGGCAGTGTGAGTAGCTTTTGGGTTGGGGTGGGGTGTGAAGCCTTGGACACACACGCCCTCCTCCAGGTTAGACCATTATGTTTTGAACATAGGTTGAGGAGGGAGGAGAGAGGTAAGGAGCTGGGCCTCCACCTCCCTGGACAGGCCCCTGTGGTACTCTTAATTGTTAGGTACTGACTCACCGCACTTCAAAGGCCTTGGCCGGAGTTCAGCTATTTAACCTGCTGCACGGAGCCTGTCACTCTGGAGCTCTGCCCATGGGGAGCTGAGCCTGCCTGCCGACCTGCTCCTCACCTGGACAGGTCCCTCTTCCTCCTAGCCAGTCCACACCCGCTGAAGAGCAGTCCCCAAGGGCCTCCAGGGCCCTGCTGCCTGCTGCTCAGGATGCCGGCCCCCTGTCTCTTTGCTCCAGACATGACTGAACAGCTGTCCTTGTGGCATCACTACCTGTTGGCCATCCAGTCACGGGAGTCACCCCGTGTCCAGGACTACCAGAGGGCAGAGAACATTCTGCTCACTGTGCTGGAGCGTGCCCATGCCTTGGACCCCCGCTTCCTCGTTGACTATTCTCGAGACCTGGAGGCCTTCCAGTTTGCACTGCGCTCCTCCGAGGAAGCGCTGGATGTGGAGGTGCCCCTGGGGGTGGACGCCGAGGCTCTCCTGGTTGAGGAGTCAGAAGCCACTGAACCAGGAGGTGTCCCTGCACTCTGTCGCCTGGGTGTCCTCAGGGAGACATCTGGCCTGGAGCCATGGATGACTGATGACGTCTTCAGTGTCTCCTCAGAGGGCAGAGACGAGCGCTGCAGTGGCCACATTGTACCCAGTAAAGTCCTGTGTGTCCTTAAAGATCTTCTGGTGGCTGCCATTGTTCATTGCAAGCACCACAGCCTCATTCCACCAGGTAACGGCGTGGGGAGTGGGGGAGGTGCTCTGCCCATGTGTGCAGTGTGTGTGTGTGCCTGCCTGCGTGCGTGCGTGCGTGCGTGCGTGCGTGTGTGTGTGTGTGTGTGTGTGTGTGTGTGTGTGTGTGTGTGTGTGTGAGACCACTGTGTTTGAGTGCTCAGGGTATAGACTGGCCCATGGGGGCTGCATACAGGTCCCTGTGTGTGTTCCCTGTACATATGAGTGTAGTGTGAGTTGTCATTGTGTGTTGGGGGCCCTGTGAGCCAGGAGACTTACTCTGGCCCCTGAGCACCCACCACTTCTGAGAAAGCAGGTGTGAGTCACACGTGACCTGTTTCTGCATGGTGATTTGGTGAAGACATTTTAATGGATGTCACTTTATAAGCGTCTGAAAGTTTAGAGCAAGCCTGCTGTTTTGTTGCCAGTTTGCTGCACAGGGTCTCCGGCAGGGCTCTGGGAAGCCAGTCTGTTACCTGATGCAATCTGTGACGCTTTACGCCTGTCCTCACTTCAGCCTAGGTCGCAGTCCGCCAGACTGTATGTGAACGTGGCAACGCGTCTGAGTCAGGATGTAAACACAATGCATGTATGTACGGGGATGTGAGCAGACATGAGCATTCATGCTTCCATATACTCAGGCGAGTAAGTGTGCATGCCTGCTTCAGTTTGTGACTGAGTCGCTAACTTGACACGCTGAGACCCAGAAGGCTGTGAGACTGGGTATTTTCAAATATGCCAGGGGCCCAGCCTCAGTCTCTCGCTGGACATCTTGTTTAAGCCATCTGGGGTGTTGGAGCCCAGATGGATGGTGCTCCAGCAAGACCAGAAGCAGCCAATTTCTTTACACAGAGGTGGCTTGAAGGGTAGGTACAACCTGTGATGAGCAAGAACATTGGGGACCCTAAGTGATGATGCTCATCCTCTTGGGTTCAAGTATAGTATGTCAGGTTGATAGGGCCCTGGAGGCCAAACAGAGTGTCCTGTTTTCCTTGGGAGGAGACAGACACATGATGGTGGTAGTTGCTACTTTCTCATAGGTTTTGTCTTCCCAAGTCAACCTCCTGGTATTTGTACTGTGCCATCAGTGAGAGATGCAGGTGTCTCTCCTGGAGGGCAGTGACATGCCTGAGATCCTTAGTGTGTGGAGTCCTGGTCTGGACGCGTGTCCAGGGACCTTGGAGCCTGGGATAGTGGACTGCTGTTTCTTCTCATGCTTCCTAGGGTTCTGGGAAAGGGTGTTTAGCAGAACCATAGCTGGATGCCTAGGTCTCAGTCTGGGCCGCATGATTCAGGAAGCTCTCAGACTTCCAACCCCAGGAGGTCAGTTTCTGTGGGCAATCCCATCCAGACCTGCTAGGCCAGGTGTCCCACAGCAGAAGACTGACCTTTGGGTGGCCAGAGACCGTCATTAAGTGTCTGGTGTTTTGCAGCTCCTTTGGCATCTTACCTGGTCATCTCTTGAACCTTCTAATTCTTGCTTGACCTAACACAGCCTTTGCCAGTTGGCTTTGGCTTCTGCAGACCCACTGTTTTGCTGAAGCACAGACCCATGGGGGCAACTAGGAGACTTCCAAGTTATGGGCCATCAAGGACCATCCAAAACTCTAGTGCCCACCTTGCATACCCATGTTGCCTCCTGGCAGAGAAAGGAGACCACCCACCCACACCCCCACACACAGTCTAGGCCCATTCCTGCTGCTGTGGCTGAGCTGGCCCCATGGGAAATTCCAGGCATTGCTTCCAACACATTCCTTAAAAGGGAAGCTATTGCTGGTGACAGGGTTCAGGTATCCACTCCCAGAACCGGTGAGACCAGCCAGGTCTGGCTTAGAGGTAGTCTAGTGAGAACAGGTGTGGCTGGCTGTCTTCCAGGCTGCTATTTCACAAATAAAAATGTGTGACTAGAGGAATACAGGCAGACATTTAGACGATGGACAGAGAGGGTCCCCACCCCCTTCACAGGGAAACCGAGGCTCATGCAGGATGGAGAATTCCAGAGGTTGCCTCCGAGCTCTCCTGCAGATGGTGGAAACTGAAGGGAAACAAGGCCAGGTCTTTCCTTGCGATGAAGGCCCTGGTACAAGGCTCGTGTTCGGGAACAGCTCCCAGAGGGTTGGCTGTTCTGGCCTCTGACCCACGCCCCTCAATAGACATGGGAGGATAGTGCTGGGGTAGGAGGGGAAATGGTTCCACTCTGGGCCTGTGTGATGGTGTGGGTGTCTCCTCTGTTGCTGAGTTGTTTAGAAAGGAAGAGAACGCTGAGGTAGAAGACTCCTGCAAGTAACACACAAGCATCTGTTACTCCTGAGATGTCCCTCTTAGGTGACCTAGAGGTTCATGGTAGGGACCCGAGCCCTGGGACGGGTCTCAGTAGGGAGGGGAGAGAGGAGTCTCTTGGCCATAATGTGTCATTCATGAGGTGATAGAGGTAGCTAATTCTGGAGAGCTAAGTAGACAAAGACCTGGTCGTACAGAATGTTCAGGCTTATCCTGGATTTCTGGGTCATGGCAGCCTGGAAATGGGGTTATCCAGGACCTCCTCCCCGGTCTTTCCCAACACTGACAGTTCTCTCCCACAAACCTGATCCTGAGCTGCTCCTGGCCTTTGCTGCCCAGGCCCTGCCCGTATGGATGGTATGAGGACCAGCACGCGTGTGTGCGTGGGGTAGCGCATGAGGTGAGCACAACTTCACCAGCTCATCAGGAGAGGTCCAGCCTGGGGTTGATGACTTCCCCCCCGCCTTGTTTCTTCTCATGTGGGCTGGGCTATTATGTCTGATCTCCCTGGCCACAACTGGCCGGAAGAGGGATGAGAGTCACTGTAGGTGACACCGTAGCTAAAGGCTGTCCTTTAGAGTTGTCCCTGGAACAGGGTGCTGGGCCAAGAGCATCCCACTCACTTTCACTGGAGACCGAAAGGGTTCAGAAGGAAGCAATGCGACGTCTTCATACGGCCGTCCAGTAGAGAGCTGCAGGCTGTGGGCTGCCCAGGGTGGCAGGGGAGCCTCCCCAGCACAGCTCTTCACATGCCATCTATGTCCAGTGCTTTTCCTTGGGGCCCGCTCTCTCTCCTGGCTCAGTCTGGACACCAAGTGGAGCTGATCACGGCCAGAGGTGGGACCGTCAGGGGCAGATCCCGCAGGTCTAAGGACGTGTGGGCAGAGGCTCAGGCAACGAGAGTGAGGGGGGGGGACCCACAGAGAGAAGGCTCATGAAGGAAGCTGTGACGTCGCTCAGCTGGCGTTGCTCCGTGAATGGGGTTGTGCAGTAGTTCAATATGGATGGGCTGGCAAAGGAACAGCCGAAAAGGGGAAGGACAGTCGTGGCAGCAGGCAGGGTGTGCCAGACCAACGCAGGGTTAGGCCCTAAAGAGTGAGGCTGGATTGCTGGCGGGTTGTTGCAGGCTCGCTGAACGCTGCTAGCCTGAAGGAAGGGGAGCTGCATCTGTCCCTGCTGGTGTCCAGCGGCTGGAGGAAGATCCGCTTCAACGTTGTGCCCGTGGTGCGGAAGAAGCACAGGCTGCCTGCCTTGGAGGGGGCCCAGCTGAAGCCTGGATTCCCTGAGGGCGCCTTGAGGAGAGTCGCCAGCCATGGGGTAGACCTGGTGCCAGCTGATGCCCAGCGCTGGAGGTAGACGCCACTCTGGACCTTTGGGTCTTGATGGAAGGGGGAAACACCTCAATGCTCCCTGAGCCCAGCACAGGAGGCTCTGAGGGGTTCTTGCCTGCTTCCGCCCTGTGGGCATCTGTGTCATACTGAGGTCACTAGAATCCAGTAGTACACTCTGGAGGATTTCTAGTGTTCAACAATTCACAGAGAGGTCCCGGGAGGGCATGGCTGGGTCATCTTCTGCACAGGAGATAGTTAGTATCATAATGCTATGATAAGATAGCCACTGCGGAAGGTGGTGTGGAGGGTCCTTCACAAACAGCCAGGTAAACACTCGCAGAGAGGTTGTCTAAGGTGCCCACACAGTGAGGATGCACACAGTGAGGATGCCCATACAGTGAGGATGCACACAGTGAGGATGCCCATACAGTGAGGATGCACACAGTGAGGATGCCCATACAATGAGGATGCACACAGTGAGGATGCCCATACAGTGAGGATGCACACAGTGAGGATGCCCATACAGTGAGGATGCACACAGTGAGGATGCCCATACAATGAGGATGCACACAGTGAGGATGCACACAGTGAGGATGCACACAGTGAGGATGCCCATACAGTGAGGATGCTCACACAGTGAGGATGCCCATACAGTGAGGATGCCCATACAGTGAGGATGCCCATACAGTGAGGATGCCCATACAATGAGGATGCACACAGTGAGGATGCCCATACAGTGAGGATGCTCACACAGTGAGGATGCACACAGTGAGGATGCCCATACAGTGAGGATGCACACAGTGAGGATGCACACAGTGAGGATGCACACAGTGAGGATGCTCACACAGTGAGGATGCTCACACAGTGAGGATGCTCACACAGTGAGGATGCCCATACAATGAGGATGCACACAGTGAGGATGCACACAGTGAGGATGCACACAGTGAGGATGCTCACACAGTGAGGATGCTCACACAGTGAGGATGCTCACACAGTGAGGATGCACACAGTGAGGATGCTCACACAGTGAGGATGCACACAGTGAGGATGCTCACACAGTGAGGATGCTCACACAGTGAGGATGCCCACACAGTGAGGATGCTCACACAGTGAGGATGCCCATACAGTGAGGATGCTCACACAGAGAGGATGCTCACACAGTGAGGATGCTCACACAGAGAGGATGCTCACAGAGTGAGGATGCTCACACAGAGAGGATGCTCACACAGTGAGGATGCACACAGTGAGGATGCTCACACAGTGAGGATGCACACAGTGAGGATGCTCACACAGTGGGGATGCACACAGAGTGAGGATGCTCACACAGTGGGGATGCACACAGAGTGAGGATGCTCACACAGTGAGGATGCACACAGAGTGAGGATGCTCACACAGTGGGGATGCACACAGAGTGAGGATGCTCACACAGTGAGGATGCCCACAGTGAGGATGCACACAGTGAGGATGCACACAGTGAGGATGCACACAGTGAGGATGCACACAGTGAGGATGCACACAGTGAGGATGCTCACACAGTGAGGATGCACACAGAGTGAAGATGCTCACACAGTGAGGATGCACACAGTGAGGATGCTCACACAGAGAGGATGCTCACACAGTGAGGATGCACACAGTGAGGATGCACACAGTGAGGATGCACACAGTGAGGATGCTCACACAGTGAGGATGCACACAGTGAGGATGCTCACACAGAGAGGATGCTCACACCAATGAAAGTAACTTGAACTTGCTAATACCTTTCACTTGGGGTGGCCTTGCCAGAGTTACAGAGCCCTCAAAGAATGTTCCTCCACCTGAGGTGTTTAGTTATAGATGTGTCCCCTCATCTGCCAGCTCCTATCTCCAACCCTGGCTTCTTTGAGTCCCTTGAAGCCTGTGAGTTCAGTGATGGCCACCCGCTACCAAGTCAGTGTCCATGAGAAGGTGAAGGGACAGAAGCTGAGCCAGGAGGACTCAGGGCCTGGGGCCCATCCAAGCCTGACACCACTGGCATCCACATACAAGGCCACAGTGTTTCTACTGGGAGAAACACATGCCCAAGGTGCCGCCATCTTAGAACTGAATCGTTCCTTCTATGTGACATTTATAAGTTGCCGCGGCATTCTGAAGCCTTCGAAGAGCTCTGTGGGCCCTATGCCCTGCACCCTTGCTGACCTATTCATGCAGAGCAGGGCCCGCGCCAAGCGTGCTGAGGAACCACCTGCCTACGAAGGCAGGTGAAAGGTGCGGCCGAGTAGAACCACCTTACGCAAAGAGAACATGGCCTTTCTGTTGTCCCACCTCTGCCTGCCCTTTAGGACTGAGACGCACAGGGTGTGGAGGCCCTACCCTGTGATGGGCTGGCAATCCCAGAAGTGAGAGCCTGTGGTGTGCTGTGCCCTGTGCTAAGGGTCAGAGCTGAGCGTCTCCACACATTATCCACCCCCTGGCTCCCATGGAGGGGAGGGGCTTTGCTTTCCCTAACAAGCTCTAGAGTGGAACCCACACCCTCTGCCAGCCTGGGGCCCCCGAGCCCCAGTCTAAAAGAAGGTGGGTGACTGAGGTCTCCCCTTGTCCCTGCAATCTTTGATGGGGAGTCTGAACCCTAGGTGTTCCAGCTAGCAAGCAGAATCAACTGCTGAGAGACAGGGCCTAGAGCCCCAGAATGGCCACAGTTAGGGTGTGGCCCTCAAGTGGGACTCAGAGGCTCTAGAGTTGGGGAGCAGCAGCAGACTGGACTTTTTCTTTCTGCTGGGACACAGGGTGCTGGGCACTGACAGGTGGGTCTGGCTTTCAGGGTCTCCACTGGCTACCTGCTCAGTCGCCTGCTGGGTGCACTAGGCTCCTTCCCTGGTCACCGCCTGGACAGCCTCTCCATCCTCGACCGGGTGAATCTGGAGAGCTGGCGCGGTGGCAGCCAGAGCCCCGGCCTAACCTTTGACCACCTCAAGGTACGCATGGTAGCTCACCTCCGGCCGTGCTCTGTTGCTTATGTCAGTGACTAGACGGCACAGGGCGGTGACCCCCTAGGTGTGTCCCTCACAGCAGCTCCCATGGTAAGCAGCCACAGGTATGGGGAGGATTCCAGGTTCACCTGAGGAAGAGATCGCAGCTCACGAGGTCTCGTAGACATGGCTGTGGAGTGGTGTCATGGCCTTGGCCATCCCTAGACTGGTGATGTGGGAGGCCTTGCAATCCCACATGACTGAGTGGGGCCACACACGGCTGGACCTTTCCCCAGCACGAGTCCTCCCGTGTCTATGAACAATCCTGGTCAGGTTCCCCTATGGACTGGAGCCAACTGGGTACCCATGGGAGCACCGGCTCCCTTCCTGTGCTCCCTGGGACGGCACACTCAGTCATGTCTCATCTGCATCCTGCTATGGCTTTGTAATAGTCCAGTGCTGAGAAGAACAGGAAAGGTGCCTACCATCCCTAACCCCCAGGGCGTTGAGAGGAGAGTGGGTAGGGCCGTGAAGTCTGGGATCCTCGAGAGATGCATGCTCACGATGGGATCCTCCGGAGACGCATGCTCATGATGCAGAGGACGCCCTCCTTGGTCCAGGGGTTAGGGTCAGGTGAGCTGATGTGTCATCAGACACTGGCTCTGGGGAGACTCCTTGTGTGGACTGAGGCCATTGACTGCTCTCTCAGACCTCTGCCTGAGGTGGGTATCCAGTTTCCAGGGGTCATCGGGGTCTGATATTCAGAGGATCCTAAATGAACGGAGAGGTGGTGGAGGAGGACAGGGATCTGAGGACACAGACTTGCAGTTGGCTAATCGCGTAAGAGTCTTGGAGCAGAAAGGAGAAGAAGGACTTCTAATGCCCTGGGTTGGGCCCTCTGGGTTGGTCTACAGAGAACGAGCTCAAAGGAGGGGCATGAAGAAATCCTCAAGGATGGAGGAAGCCTCAGATAACCCTGAGGAAGTTCTGAAGTTCAGCAGAAGGTGGAAAGAGAGGCCCAGAGGGAAGCAGGAGGGGCAGAGAAGGAGTAGGAGCCCCAGGAGTTGCTGGGTGGCAGGTATAAGAGGGCTCGGCACTCGGAGATGTTGAGGAGGGTTGGCTGGAGCAGGGCTAGTGTACAGGCAGGTGGCGGGGAGTCGGTCCAGCTGCCCATTGACAGGCAGGTCTGACTTTGTCCTGCAGACGGTGCTGCTGTGGGCCTCTGTGCTCTTCCCAGCAACGGAGGACTGGGCAGACCTGCAGGGCTCGGTGTACCGCCTGCTGGTTGTGCTGCTCTGCTGCCTGGCTACCAGGAACCTGCCCCACTTCCTGTACCCGGAGCACAACTTGCTGCAAGACAGTGGCCTGGACCTCGGTGCCATCTACCAACGTGTGGAACACTTCGCCAGCCAGCCTGAAGAGTCCTTACGAATCCATGTCACCCACCTGGGCCACAGCCGTCCACCACGCATTGACAACGGAGTCAAGGCACTCCTGCAGCTACCCGCCAGTGACCCTACCTACTGGACCACTGCCTACTTTGATTTTCTGCTAGATAAGGTGGGTGCAACTGTTTCAAGAGGGAGTGGCTAGAGCCCTGGTCCTGAACCCTGACCCCTCCCTCCCAGGTCAGGAGCTCAAGGATGGCTGGGGTAAAGCCAGACCTCTGGGGGTAAAGCCAGACCTCTGGATGGCCGAGGGTCACATGGGACATAGAATGCAACCTCAAGAAAGGCCCCAAGGGTGAAGACTGCTCTCTGGAAGGTTAGGGTTAGGGTTAGGGTTAGGGTTAGGGTTAGGGTTAGGGTTAGGGTTAGGGTTTGGGTTAGGGTTAGGGTTAGGGTTAGGGTTAGGGTTTGGGTTTGGGTTAGGGTTAGGGTTAGGGTTTGGGTTTGGGTTTGGGTTAGGGCAGAGTTCCTGAGATTACCCCTGTGTTCCACAGACTTACCCTAAACCACACAACAAATGCCCAGAACCCTTCTCTACCTTGGGGCTTAGATTTTCCCTGGGATCCATTTCCTATGTGTTCCTGGACTTGGCATTCTGATGGTCACACTCTTTGGGACCTTATGTTCTCTGGCCTGCTGTCTAGAGGTACCTACCAGCTGTCCCTTCTACACCTGTAGAGCCCATTGCTCCCCTACAAAGGCAGGGACTCCACCACCCAGCCCCAAATATTGCCTCCAACATATGCCTAACATTTTTTTGCCAGGCGTTGGTGGTGCACGCCTTTAGTCCCAGCACTCGGGAGGCAGAGACAGGCGGATCTCTGTGAGTTTGAGGCCAGCCTGGTCTACAGAGCGAGTTCCAGGACAAGCCTCCAAAACAATACAGAGAAACCCTGTCTGGAAAAAACAAAACCAAAAAGAACCAAAACAAACAAACAAACAAAAACCCCACATGCATGAAAATTTTTGGTCACTGATGTGCATGGAAGGAACCTTCAACCAGAATCACTGGGACCTCCTCAGGGGTCATTGTGTCAGGGATTCCGGGGATATGCTGTGTGATACAGGCTGTTGGAAGAGGAATGCTGGGGTGGCTCACCTGCAGGGGTGACGGACCAGGTGGATCCTTGCAGACAGGGTGGTCAGAGAAGATGGTTGAGACAGGTATAGCCTGGCTGCCTGTGACCCTCTGTCCCTGCCCACCTCAGTTCCAGGTCTTTAACATCCAGGATAAGGACAGAATCTCAGCCATGCAGAACATCTTCCAGAAGACCAAGACCATGGGAAATGACAACAGCTGAGCTGGAATGGGAGGCCCAGTCTCTACCAACCTGCAGAGCTCCCTGGGACTTCTGGAAAGGAATGGGGATGGGGGAATCTCTTTAGTGACAGGTGGAGGGACTTAGTCCCTGAGGACTCCTGTTCAAGGAGAGTTCAAGTAGCTGGCACGGAGGTCTTGAGACAGCCACCATGTTCCAGACCAGGACTGAGGTGGCTGGTTGTATGCTTCCCAGGGACCCATTGATCCATTCATTGGACAGTCAGGACAGGTATAGGCATAAGACAGCTTGGGCGTTTGCTCTGCTTATGTTTCACACTACTCCTGGGGGTTGAAACACTGTGTGTTTAGCGTTGAGTACATTAATGCCCCAGTGTACCCTGTGGGGAGGGTCCCCCACTTGGTGTATCTCTCTGCAAATATAGACTCCTAAGACTTGTGTGCAAAGATGGTTTCATTTCAAACCTTCCGCACTCTTAGGCAGAGACTGTTCCCCTGGACAGATAATCCTTACTCTCCAGTTCAGAAGGAGCTGAAGCCAGAAGAGGGACTGCCACAGCTCCCTTTCCCCAATACTAGTCTGACCTGCTTCTCTGTTACTGGAGCAGTGTCCCCTGTTCCCAGCATCCAGTGACTCACATCTTCTCATTAGCTTGAAGCAGCTTCCCTGGAGCCCGGGACCTCTGAGTGCCCCAGCTCAGAGACATCTCTTCTCCGTTGTCTTTGGCACTTGGTGGCATTTACTCCTTGGCTTCAGAACTGTGGGCTGCATTCCAGGCTCTGAGGAGGGAACCCAAGTCCCGTATTTGTGCAGGACATCCAGTGTCCCAGTGTCCGCCAAGGACTGACAGCATGTGTCAGAGCAACTACACAATGAGTAAGTGCCCAGGGTCCCTGAAGTTTGTGGGACCAGGGCCCAAGCTATCACCAACACAAGAGAAATGCTGTGTTGTCTCAAGAGTGGAACTTAAACAGACCCGAGCCCACCCTGCTCACTTCCTTGGTGATAAATATAAGTCACATTTAACAGAGATGAGAGCTGTGAGCGCAGGAAAGGCCAAGGGGACACTAATTTTTTTCGACAAGGTCTTGCTATTTAGCCCTGGCTTGCCTGGAATTCTCTAAATAGACCAGGCTATCCTCAGACTCTTAGAGATATCCCTGAGTGCAGGGATTAAAGGTATATACAACCATGCCCACCTAAATTTTATTAGAATTGTATTTATTTTGCTTGTATCAGTGTGTGTGTGTGTGTCATCCCTAGTCCACTGCCCTTTAAACAGTCTTCCCAAACACACTACATGAGGGTGTAGGAGCAGAATATAGCATTCCTTAAAGTGTACCACAGCGACTTCAGTAAGAACCAGGTGGGCTGTGTCATGTCGGGATTACAGAAACTTTGCCAAATAGTGATTTGTCACCAAGACACTGCGCTAGACATATGATCTATGGTAGAACAGGATAACAGGGACTCTGGAACTTGCTCTGTAGGCACCAATAAGGGAGGCACATCCTCTCTGGTCCCATTAGAAGGAGGTCTAGAAGCAGTGTGGGTTCTTGGAAGAGGACAGTGTAAGTTCTAGATCTGAGCAAAGCTAACCTTCCTGTTGTGGGCATGAGACAGGCCTTGGGAGACCTGCTACAGAGGGGCTCTGTGCTGATGACACCAGGGCTAGGGAGACTCTTCAGTGCCTCACACAGGTGTCCTACTTTTGACATTGCAGCATGGCATTATTGTCTACAAATGAGCTGGGATACAAGCATAGCTATTCTGGGACCCATGTGGTCTGTGGGCTGCAGATTGGGGACATGCTTATAAAATAAATGTGTTCATTCTATAATTCAAACGGGGAATCTTAGCGCCACCTTAAGGTCTGCCACATAGGCAAAGCCCTGGGGCTCAGAGGTCCAACGTAGGCTGGGACTTTGTCCTGCCTGCCTTGGAACTCGGTGACCTCTTTGGATCTTGAAGACTATATGCACCGCACCTAGGAATGTCCCATCAACTAAGTGACTGGGGTAATTATCACTTCTGAGTGAGACCAGCCCAGAAGTGGCTTCTCTAGCAAGTTTATGTCACAGTATGAGCATAGTGTCAATGATATTATGTGGGTCCCTGCAAGCCTCAAAAAAGGAGCTGAGGCCCCAGAGCAAGGGAGTGTCATGCACATCGAATGAGCCCCCGTGATCCCATGTGATCCCATTCCCAGTGCCACAGGCCCCCATGTGTGTTGGCAGGGGTGGAAGATGATGGTGGCAGTGCAGTATGGGTCTAGAGGACAATGGATTCAGTATATCTGGGACCAGTCAAGCAGGGTGAGGGCCAGATGAGTTACAAGAACGGTGGCTTGGACCTTCCTGCCATCAGGCTTGGTGGCCAGGCCTCCCTCTCAGCTCATGCTGGCCTCGGTGACTTCCCTGGGGACTTAGAGTCCTGGAAGGCAGCAGGGAGGAATGGTCCTTCCAGAAATAGAGCTTCAAACATTGGAAATATTTGTTAATTGTGGAGACGAGAGACCCATGGGAAGCACACAGGTGTAAGACAGGAAATTCCAGAGGTGGAGGTGGCTGCAAATGACGTAAAGAGTGATTTCTGAGCCCAGTCCTGAAGGTAGACAGTCTCCACAGGCCACGAGGACCCACGGGGGCATGTGGTCACTTGGAGCCGTGAACGTCCCATTCTCAGTCCCCGATGGAAAAAAAGTCAACAAGTACGCAGAGGACTGGAAGATGTCTGCCACCAGCCAGCCTGAGTGCTGTCAGGAGACCCTGCTCAACAAGATCAGAGTGTAGTGCATCTACACAGAGCCAAAATCCATGGACAATATGCTTTCTGACCTCAACAGACACAAATTAAAAACAAAAACGAAGTGGAGGTTTAGAATTTCTTCCAAATATGTGGAAATTATACAACATAAATCAAAATAATCTGTGGTGTCAAGAATAAGTCCCAGGAACAAAATCATAAAATATTTTGACTTGCATGATAATGAGAACACTACCCGTCAAAGTTTGGTGATGAAGCCGACACAGGGCTCAGAGAGAAACTTTACCTTGAAACACCTGAAAGAGCAGCTGTTTTTCTAAGTCAACTTCTTAAGCTTCCAATGTAGGGAGCAGGAAACCAAGAGTAGCCCCCAAAGATATGGACAAGGAGTACTTGTCAATCAAAATTTTCAAAGGAGAGCCAGTGAGATGGCTCACAAGGTAGGAGTGTGTACTGCCAAATATGATGACCTGAGTTCAATTCCCGGGACCCTCATAGTAAAAGGAGAAAACCAACTCCTGCCAGCTGTCCTCTGGCCTTTACACATTGAGGCATATTTACACACACACATATATATACACACACACACACACACACACACACCACACACACACAGGAGCTGCAGAGAACCTGCATTGACCCCATTCATAAACTGAACACACACACACACACACACACACACACACACACACACACACACACACGATAAACATTTTAAAATTCAAACATTAAACACTTGCTCTAAGACTGGAGTTCTCCCAACCACATTTTTTTTGCAATGGCTTTATGGTCCTCAGAAAGCCAGTGAAAAGTATACACATTTGGAAAGACGTTTAAATGGCATCATTCATAGGCAACTTGATTATCGACTTAGAATCCAAACAAATCTACAAAGAACTCATTACAACTATGAGCCTAGAATGGTCAGTAAATGCAAGTGTATTAAAAGGAAGCAATTGGAAATGAAAACTAAGTATCATTTATGATAACAGCAAAATAGCAATCTCTTTGGAATAAATCTAGTAAACGGTGTATGCAAGACCTCTAGAGTGAAAATCTGAAATACACTGCTTAGAGAAATTTAAAGTCATCTAAATTGATCCCTGTGAATTTAAGTTTGTGGTATTTCTAAGATTCCTACTGTCCTTAACCCAATAGCTGGTAAATTCCAATCATAATCCCCAGGAAGCTAGTCTGTAGAAACAGAAACAGACAAAATAAGCCCAAGATTCATGTGGAAATTCAAAGGTTTTAGAATAAAAAACTCTCTCTCTCTCTCTCTCTCTCTCTCTCTCTCTCTCTCTCTCTCTCTCTCTCTCTCGATTCATATTCAAACTTACTGGTGGCTGCAAATTTTGAGATAAGGTAGATTGATGACTTAGGACCAAGAAAGCAGCCAGAGTGGAACAGATGCCAGAAACTAATCCACAAATACGTAGTCGATGATCTTTGCCAAGTTGGCAGGTCAATTGAATGGAGAAAGCAAGGTTTGTTTAACAAGCGTGCTTTTAGGACAACTGGGTACTGCTATGGGTAAAATGTACTTTGCCCCATGTACACGCCATGAAACAAATAATAGACCTCCGTATAACTTCAAAAGAAAAGACATGAACATCCATAACAGTCTCAAAGTAGGAAAGACTTCTGCAACAAGATAGAAACATCTTAGAACACAGAAAGAAGACTCATAGGACTTTGCCAAAATTAAACAGACCTGCTCTTGGAGCCATTCATAGGAAAATGATAGGTGAGCCACAGAGCAAGAAACCCTTGGCACACAAACATCAGATTGGGTTGAGAATACATTTTCTTAAAAAAATCTATTATAGAGCTGGGGAGATGGCTCGGTGAGTAAAATGCTCTCACCAGGCAAGCATGAGGACATAAGTGTGGATCCCCAGCACCTACACAAAAGCTGGGTACAGCTGTGCACACCAGTAATCCTAACACCAGGTGAAGGGAAGGCGCAGAAACAGTTTTGCTGGACAACCAACCTCGCTAAAATGTGAGTTCTAGGTCCAATGAGAGACCCTGTCCCAAAAATTAAGGTGGAAAACACTGATGGAAGACATTCCAAAGTTTACCTCTGTATCTTCAGCCTTCATACACACCTACATAGACAGGTGCACCCCACCACACACATGCATAAGATACACACACACACACACACACAGAGAGAGAGAGAGAGAGAGAGAGAGAGAGAGAGAGAGAGAGAGAGAGAGAGGAACTCAAGGACTGTTACAAACCAGCAACCCAAGGAGGAAAAATTCATATACCAGCAAAGGTTTGCAAGTGTCCAGTGGCACGTGGAAAGACCATGGACACTGTCAATCACCGAGGGAGGGGACATTCTAATGCAGTTAGTTTGACAGCGGCTAGAACTAAAGGATGCCAGTCACCTGGGCAAGGGTATGGAATAGCCGCAGCTCTTAGCCACCGTATCCCCTCGTCGAGGCAGCCTGTCACTGGAATTCTTGTCATTTACTCAAAACAACTGAAAGCACAAAGTCACACAAAGCCTTGAACCAGGAGGCTGTTTCAACTGTGTTTATCAAAGCTCCAAACTGCAAATAAATCAGGTGTTAGTCCGTCACCCGCAGGTAACGGGACAGAATTTCTACAGGTGGTCATGCAGGCAAGGACAGTCAGGCACACATGTGCAGGAGGCTCCAAGACGCTG